TTACAGTTCATTGATGCCCCATGGACACCTGCTGCCCGGGACAAACAATACCTTCTCCTTCACCTCTCTCGCCTGATTAGATTATGTTTCATGACTTTTTACTTTTATAAAATTATTTTCAGGGATTATATTTACCCTCACCAAAAGCTTGAATAGCCATTTTGATAGCTTGAACAGCGTTAAAAAAATAAATGAAAAGTTTTTTTTGCCTGTCGTTATGATTACATAAAAATTTCTTTTGAAAATACTTTTTTTATTTCGAAAATACAACGATAAAAATCAAATTCATCCAATCTAAATTTGAATAGCGTAAATTTGAAAGAAAAGTTGCATAACTTTAGACACAAAGAGTCTAATAAAGAATTTTGTAAATTGTAATTTGTAAATTGTAAATTGTAAATTTGTAAATTGTAAATTGTAATTTTATTTTTAATATCTGTAAATTTTTAAAAATAAAGTAGGTCAGCCTCAAAAAATTAGCAAAAACTAAATTATTTTTCGAATTTTTCTTTAAAATCTAATGAAGGTTTACTAGTTACAAGAATTATAGAATTTGTACACTCCCTTCTTAGAATGCATAGTTCACAGAACGCACATAAGTCATTATTATTTCTCAACGGCAATTTCCTTGAGGCCTTAAACGCATGACATGAAATCATTGTTGCAGTGTCAACGGCTAATTACTCGCTAGAGGTTATTTAGAGACTTACGACGGTTACAAATCGATTTGTGCCTTTGCGATTTTTGTGTTACATAACTCTAAAAAAAATGTATTTATATAAAAAAATCTCATTAATATCTCGGTAACGTAAGTGAAGTAACATTTGGTACGAATTTATTTTAACATAGTTACTAATTTGTTAATATTTGTTACATACGAACGAGTAAAAAAACTACTCGGTTTTTAGTTTGAATAAAGGTCAATAACAAATAAATCCGTTATTAAGAAAGGAATAAGAAAACGATGCTTTGTTTGGACATATTTAGAAATGGACCAAAAGAATAAACCAAATGCAGCATATGTTATAAGATTTTACCTTACAACAGTTCCACCAGTTCAATGCAATCCCATTTATCAATTGATCATTACATTAACTCTAAAATATCTAAAAAATCAACAACTTTACTCAACGATGGCGATATATCTGATATTTATGAGAACGGTTTGGAAGAGACTGGTGAGAAAAAATTAAACAAGTTAGGGTAATGCGGGGCAAAATGAGACAGCGGGGCAATACGAGACAGTTCGCGTTTAACATAATGCCAGCCCTACAAATTATTATTTGTAAGATTTTTAAAAGTGCAGTTGTGTTCAAAAACTATTTTGTGTCAAGAAAAATATATTGAGTCACTTTGAAATAAAAAAGTTGAGTAAAAGGGGAGTCATTTCATCCCTCGGCTTTGCGAAAATTACGAACTTTTAAGAGTTGTTATTATATTTTTTCCTAGCCTTTTTTGATCTCACTGAGTGGAAAAGTTTTTTATATTTAAAGTTTTTTTTTAATTAGAACCTTTAGGCCTTTTCCTTTCATTTCCATTCTTTGGTATTTTATTTCTTCAATAAAATAGTCTGGAAATTAGGCTATTCGATGCCAACATGATGCGGGGCAAAACGAGACATTCTGTTTGTATTTTTTTTTTTGCCAATATCTAATATTATGTTTATTTAATTTTTTACATTAAAACAACAACCAAAGCAAATATTAATATTTACATGCTGTAGATTTAAATTTATTATACTGTATTTACTCACTTTTTATTTTGTTAATTGAAATGTTTAGTTGTTATCCAATATAGAATTACGTTTTATATTTTGTTAACTTATATTTAAACATAATAAATACTTAATCAAACTGAAGCAAATAATTGCCTGATGTTTATAATTACTATGTTTGTATTTTATAATCTTATTGTATTGTAATGTAATAAAGTAAGTAGTATATCCTATATATAGTGAGTAGATTATAACATAGGTTATTGCAGTACCGATAAACAAAATACAATGAATGTTATGCGTGCTTTAAACACATAAGTTTAATATATGCATGTATGGTTTTATATATATATATATATATATATATATATATATATATATATATATATATATATATATAAGTGGAGTCAATTTCCAAAATGCACAACCTGGGCTCATTCGGACTGTTGTTTGTAAATACTGGTTAAGCAATATGTGATTTATGTGACTAGTGACAGTTTGATTATAGCTGTAATATATTATAAAATGTATTTCTTGCTAATCCTCTTAAAGATATGTTTTTTTTAACTTCATTTATTTAAATTACTAAAAAAAAAATTTTTTTTTTATTTTTAGTAATTTAAATAAATGAAGTTAAAAAAAGACACCTTTCCTGTCTCATTTTGCCCCGGTATGCGGGGCAAAATGAGACAGGAAAGGTGCTGTCATTAAATGATCTCCGGTGACCAAACTACTGCAGTTTTGCAACTCATGCTTTTTAGGCTTTAAGTAGGATCGTAGAAGAATTGAAAAATGTTAATTTATTTTTAAAAGATGTTAGACTGGCCGTATTAAATATATTAGCGCTTAAGTGTCTCATTTTGCCCCTCGTTACCCTATTGGTGAATTTTTTTGTTAGTACCGATCAGCCGATTTCGATAGTACGTCATCCAGATTTTGTAAACTTAGTTAGTGAGTTAAACATAAGCTACAAAATGCCGTGTATAAATATGAGCAAGAAATTAATTCTATCAATTATGGACAATCTTAAATCATTTTCAACGCTAGAATTGAAGGTATGTCGTTTCATTACAATTACTTGTGATACTTTATTTAGACCGGAGATCATTTGTGGTCATTATTGGGTAAAAACAGCTACCTCGGTGTGACTTTTGTTGACAAAAATATGACTCAAGTTGACCGAAACCTGAATCTTAAGTTCATGTCTAAAATGAAAACAGCTGAATATTTATAATGTATCTTATTTATTTCTCATTAAAATAAAATATATATACTATTAATTTTAAACAAACAAACGAAACAAAAAAACAAAAAAAGATTTTACGATTTATTAGTTGTGTTTTATATGTTTTGGGACCATCCATAAAGGACGTTATTGCAAATAGGGGGGGAGGGGTCAAGATTAAAAGGACAAAGAAGGACAAGGGGGAGGAGGGGGGTCATCAGAAAAGGGCGTCACTTTATAGAATTTTTTTATTTTACGTATTTTTATGTTAACATTTGTTTTTCTAAAGTTATCGTAAGTGAATGTTACGTTGTAATAAAAGAAAGAAATTCGTGTTGATATTTATTTAAATATTATTTTTTTATATATAAAGTTTATATACCTGTGATATATGTGATACGATATAAATATATTACAATTAATTATATATTGCTAAACACTTGGTAGTTTCTCGTATCACATATATCACTAGTTACGCGCTACGGGTTTTTGTTCAAATTCTTTTTGCGAAATTCGTCCCGAAGGACGAATTTTGTATTGATACCATTTATGATTTTTATAATAGAGTTTTACAAATATTTGTCTGAAGGGAATTGCTTGTGTAGCAATTATTAATGATTGTCTAAAGCAAATATTACAAATGGTTGTTTAAAGGGAATTGGTTATGCAGCAATCGTTACATAGAGCATATTTTTTTGTTATTTTTTCAATTTGTGGCAAAAGTGTCAAACAACATTGTTGTCTGTATATCAAAGGATGGATAAAAATAGTCTTCTTAATTCGCTTATAAAATTGTACAATAATGCTCATCCGTTTAAGAAAAAAGCCGATAGTCAAAAAAAAGTCCATAAAATATGGAATGAGATCAAAGAAAAGAAAGATTTGTAGGATCAAGTAAAGACTTTGATCCAAAAGTATACCTCAATGGTATTGAAACAAAAATGTTCTTTAATGTCATTTTGGGCCAGTCAAACAACCAAGCGATCTGTTCCTTCCCATTCCAGTTATTCCGCTTTAGAGTTCCAGTCCAATACAGATCAACTTATTGAGCCGATAGATATCGTTGATACCACGTCAGATGTCTCTCGCCCTGACATCCTAAATTGAGACGAAGAAGGCCAAGACTTATGCTCAAGACACAATCAAAGCAAAAATCGTTGTTTTGAATCAAGAAATAGTCGCTATGAAGAGCAGAAAAAGAAGTGGCTTATGGACCGATGCTGAAGAACAAACCTTTAAAAAGAAGAAGGCCAATGTCCAGGAACTCACGACTAATCTTAACAAGTTGATCGGCAACATGAAGTCAAAACAAAAATCAAGGGCTGAAAAGAAAACTGTCATGAATCAGGTAATAATTATATTATATAATAATAAGTTACAATAATATTATTTTAGAAAATGAACATTAACTAAAAACATTAACAAAATTATTTGTAAAGTTTTTTTGGTACTGTAGGTGTTTGCTGACCACCCGAGAGTGAAAAAAGCTCTTAAAGTACTTGACGGAATCGGTCGCCCTACTATTGAGGTAGAACAATCTGAGATATTGCGTGTCATTATACAACTTGCTGAACATGGATCTGCTGCCCACGATAAAAGACAATCTAAAGTGTATAGGGTACAACTTCAGCTAATAAAAAATTCTATTCGACTATATAAGGTCTCATTATAACTTTTCAGCCTCTAAACACTGTACTCTATTTACTTATAATTTTTTTAAATTACTTTTAAATAGCTTTAAATTGTTGGATGAGCTTGTTGCCGAGCTCGAAAAGAGAGGTTACCATCTTAGCAGAAGTGCTTTATATACTCGTTTGCTGCCAAAACAGAGTGATTCTCGAAGGAAAGAGGCACGTCCACATGGTTCTAGTCAAGTTGATGCAGGCTCAAAATGACCTTCATTCAAGTCACATGGATGGTCCGTTTTGTACAGCAACTATAAAGAATGTGGAAGAAGTTTGCTCTTTTTTGGGCCCAAAGGATGTGTGCTTTATAAGTCAAGACGATAAAGCTTGGATCGCTATAGGAATCACTGCTGCCAACAAATAAGCTCCTATATTGATGCATATGGAACATCGAGTTTCTCTTCCTAATCATGATTGGGTCATCGCTGCAAAGCACAAACTCATCCCATCCGTATACGCAGGTATCGCAATCAAACCAGATGGGCTTGGAAAATCTGATGCAGTTTCCTATTCCGGTCCCACTTATGTTGCTATTCGTTCCGGAAAGCATTCATCATCGACAGCGTATGCTCACGGATTGGACTTTGAACGACTTTTGTCTCTGCCAGAGTTTGATTCCATTACAAAAGATCCTTTGACCAAGTTGGTCAAGCCAGTAGTTGTCTTCAGTGTTGATGGTGGACCAGATGAAAATCCACGATACGCTAAAGTCATCGAAATTGGTATATCCTTCTTTTTCAAGTTTTTTATTGCGATCTATCAATATAATTATGTTTCTTCTAATTTAAATATTTATTTTGTTTACAGCAATACATCATTTCCTTACAAATGATTTGGATGCCTTATTCATCACGACGAATGCGCCAGGACGGAGTGCTTTCAATCGAGCCGAAAGAAGGATGACTCCACTGAGTAAAGAGTTGGCGGGATTGATCTTACCTCATGATCATTATGGAACTCATCTAGACTCTAAAGGTATTCAAATTCATTTTTAATATCAACTCTTTATCAAAATACAAATGTATACAAGGCATAAAGAAATAATTATATGCCTTGCGACTTATATTTAAGGCAGGACAGTGGATCTTCTTTTGGAAAACCAGAACTTTAAATTTGCTGGAAATAGCTGTGCCTCGGTCTTTTCAGGTCTGATGATTGATCAGTTTCCAACGGTGGCCGAGTATATTGATCCAGACAACAAGAAGGAGCTCGATGTTCATCATCTCTTATCAAAGGATCAGGACTCTCATGTGCACACCAGTCAATATTTAACGCAAATTGTGAAATGTGAAGATCCCGTATGTTGCGCTTTGAAAAGGAGCTCTTACTTCCATGTTATTCCTGGTCGATTTCTGCTTTCACCTATTCCAATTAGCCAGTCAGAAGATGGCTTGAAAGCTGTAGCCATTTCAGATGTTGCCAGCAAAAACCGTTTTCCTTCTGTACTTTTTCTTATCGCTTCCAATATTCAGAGCACCATTCCTCGATCATTGAAATCATTCAAACTTCCTCCTCACGATCTGTTTTGTCCCTTTGTGCAATCAAGTTTGTCTCAGAGAATCTGCAAGCATTGTAACTTGTACTTTGCCTCATGTCAGCGTTACTCATTCCATTGTTATTAACCAAATGGCTATTACTTTTTCGCAAATCAAGCCTGTTCGCATTGCCGCCAAGCGCAAAAGAGAGTTAATGGCTGTAATTGCAATAGAGGAGAACACAGCCTTTGCTGAATGGTTCGATGAGGACGAAATCGAAACGGAGGGCCTACATATTCCGAATGATTCAACTATTTTAGGCGAACCCGACTGCTCTATTCCAATCATATCAATTAATGATTATTTAAAAAAATCCTTGGATGGATGATGCGTGAGGCAAGTTCTCATGACACACTTTGATTAAATTTAGTATATAGAATAAGACTAAAATATTAAATAATTTTTTTTTCTTTTTCAGAAAGGCAAAGGAGCAAAAACATACGTGGAAATACCTAATCAGCTCCTGAATGATATTTAAACAGAGAAAAATGTAATTCACATGTAAAAAATGTCAATAAAAATGCTTAAATTAAGAAAAGATTTTTTTAAAAAATTGGGGGAGCTTAAAAATGACGTCCTTTTTTAGGGGGGGTGGGTATAATAAAAAAGGATATTTGGTGACAAAGGAGGGGGGGGGGAAGGGGTCAAAAAATGCCTAAAAAATAGTGACGTCCTTTATGGTAGCCCCTTTATATTATAATATTGTATTTTATTTTTAACTTTATAACTTTTGACTTGTAACATTGTGACGTCAATGTAAACGGGGCTCAGCGATAAGACAGTTTATGTCTTCTTCTTGCTCTGGCCATTTTTTACATATGTATGATCTTCCTCATTGTAAATTTTATTATACGGCAAAGAAAAAGATAATAATTGAAATAAATAAAAAAAAAAAAAGAAACTGTTTAAGTTTTATTTTAATGTTATGAATCACGGTGCCTCATTAAATTATATTTTTTGTACTCTAAAACAGATTCATTGCATACTAAATATGCTGGCGCCGAAATAAATTTACCAAAATAGTATTCTTTTGCGAAACATGCATACATTTTTCCTCCTGCTGAAGTTGTATTAGATATTATTTCTGCTAATTCTTCAGCTTTTTTTCTTAATGGTTCTGTATTACAAATAGAATCTAACTCAGACTCATATGCTGCTTCTACTTCCTCGTGTAGAAATAAACGTAGGTATATTTCTCTAGCAGTTTTATCAACTTTATTTTTATGTAGGTATTTCAAAAGATTATCTGGAAATTCGGAGTGATTTATAGTCAGCTGGGTTATGTAAAAAGCATAAATGTTACAATTTCTTCTTTCGACAATTCTCTCCGAGACAACAGTAAATAAATTTTGACCAATGTTAGTATTTTGTTCTTTAAGATTTTGTCGTAAAAACAAAATAATTTTATCAGATTTTATCACAGTCTCTTTTCCCTAGTTCCATAACTCTACAACATGCACAGTGGGCCAGGTATATGGGAAGTGGTGGACAAAACCTAACTATTACCCAATTAGTCCACAATCCCATTTAGATATATAAATAATCATTATATATGAAATAATATTTATTTTTAACAAGAATATTATAATTTTTAATATTTAAAAAAGACATTTAATAGGCTTAGGTAGTAAAAAAATATTTTTTTCAATATCAACCTTTTTTAAAAATGAAACAACAAATTGTGTTTAGCTACAAAGAAAAAGAAGAAGGTGGAGCTGATTCCCTCAGCAAAGCCAAAACTTCACTGGAGTATTTTTTTAAACTCTTACCATTTTTCACTAGATACAAGTAGCCTGTTAACTAGGTCACAATTTGTGTCGATTCTGGAAGTCTTTCTACTGAAATCTTCCCTAAACTTTTTAAAATCCTTGTTACAGACCTCTTGGGCCTCCTCTGACATCAGTCTAATTGGCAAGTACTGTCTAGCAATGATGGCATGGCCATGAACTAACATTTTGTGTACTGATTGTGCCATGTAATACCAGGAATACTTAGATATGTAAAGTTTAAGAGCAGTAATACAGAACTCTTTAAATTTGACAGTGTCAATTTCAAATCCAGATGATAAAGTAACTAGTATGATGTAAAAATAAAATAAAAGAATTTCATCTACTTTCAAAATTTTGGCACTTGATTGATAGTTTGCAAAGGCTCGTCGGGCAGTGTTACCGCCATTACTGGTACCTACAAATTGTATATATGTGATAATTAACCTGATGATTTATATAAAAGTATTTATGTAATTTCACTTACCAGATCCTCCACTTTTTGGGAAATCCACAACTAGTCCCAATTGGTTCATAAATTCTGTCTGTATACGTTTCTTCACTTGCATAACATTTTCCTTATCTTCTATAGCTCTAGACTGCCACTTTTGAGTTTCTAGTTTATATCCAATATGCAATACCATCTCAAAAAACCTAATCCAGGCATGCAGGCTAGAAAGACCATATTTCAATTCTAAATTATTAGAATTGTCCAATTTCAGCACCATTTCTAAGTTATTCATGTTTTTTGGAGACACACCATACACAGAGCAACATTGAGTTGAGTTAGTCACATGAGACAGAATAGTTTGAATTTTGCCATCAATCATGGTCAGTTCAATAATACTTTTGACAACCAGTTCCTTTCTATTAAAAGTAAAATTAAAAACACCACATTTTTTGATTTCAGATTCTAAATATTTTTCTTCTTCTATAACAACTGCTTTGCTTTCATTTTGAAAAGAAAATCTTATTGGACGACAATATGCAGTAGATGATGGCTTTTGCCATAATAGTACTTTTTTGTTATTACAGAACCCACTGAGTTCTAGTGGTGCTAAGCAGATAATGAACAGAGATTCTTCTTTTTTTAAGTTACGATCTCCAGCTTCCTCACTACTAATTTGCTTGTACATTCTTTGCCCAGTAGCCCCATCAAACCCAGCCTTGCAACGCAAAGTCAACCGGGTCAAACCATCTAGCATTGTGCTGATCACAGGAGCTTGCACCTCAAAAAGTCTTTTTCCTGTATGTTTTAATAATTCTTGTAGTGGTACATGTGCTGAATAATCATCAACAAAGATGTTCTCTGGATAGCACTTAGCTTTGGACAATCTTATGTTGTTGTATGAAGGATATATATGGCAGTCACGTTCTTCAGCTCCATTTCTCATAAGTTGGTAGGTTGATTTTGACATGCCACCATCTATAATTAATGCCAGACCTTCATCAGGTGTATACTTTTTAAATTGACTAAAAGGTTCTGATATCTCAGCAACTTGCTTGGCAGCCTCATTATTATGCTGATTTCTTAATTTAAGCCTTGCTGAGTGGAGCAACTCATTACTAGAAAAATTATTTATAATATCATTAAGTCTTCTCCTTTTGGTTTTGTCAGAAGCATCTTTAAAGGAACAACTTGGTCTTCCACCAATCTTATGTAATTGACTAGAATTATCAGGCTTAGATATATTATTACTGTATGTAGATTTAAAGTCCTGAGTCAACCAATTTTTATTTTTACTCTCAAACTTTATGTTTCCTCGGTTTGCATCCTTCCATTTCTTTTGATAAACTTTTAAAAATGCAGCACACCCAGTAGAACCCTAATTCATAGAGACTAAAATAGATTCTACAGACAAAGAAAATGATTTGTCACTCGGATTTAGTTGGTCATGCCGTATACGGTTATGGACATCACTTATCTTCATATTAACTACAAAAAAATTAATTTAAAATTATTAGTGCAACCACTATAAACTAATATAACATGAATATGGCCATTATTTTTATTTCAGATATATTTAATTAGGCCAGTACAATAAGCACAACACCTAATAATGACAACAAACCAAAAAACAGGTTTGTCGCAAATAGCATTTTACAACAATATATATTTTTTAAATGTTTACCAAACCTAAAGGGGCAGCTATGAGCAGAATAAAACAGCACCAACAGGCTGTACATATATTGTATTAACTTATTTTACCATTAATATGCTGTTTAGAACCATATCATATAGTTTATGTATATAAACTATATGATATGGTTCATATATATGACATAGTATATCATATATCTATGTCATATAGTTTAGAACCAGCAGGTTCTAAACTATATGAGCCACTTTTAACATAATATTTTTATACTATAAACAAGAATCTTACCTTTATATTTCAAAATAAAACTGTGACTTTAATACAAGACTTTGGAATTTGTTATGGTATTTTTTGAAAAGCTATCAAATTAAATTTTAATATGTCAATTAATTTCGCATATGTTAAATAATTTAAAAGTTATTTGTTGTTATAGTTATGTTGTTATGGTATATAAAAAAAAAAAAAAAATTAGTTAATCATTATATTCAATTGTAAATAATAATTGTACATTTATGGTGTACAATCAAACTACAAATAATGTTTTAAACCATACATTATGCTCTTATAAATATAATGTACTAAGTAGTTGGAAGTATTTCGGAATTTTTTTTTTTGAGGTTTTGT